TTCCTCATCACGCGGGTAACGGCGGGTGTGCGGGGAGGAGGCGGTGGGGGGAAACAGCGTTAGGCCGCGGTCTCGCCTCCGCCGGGCGCGGGTGTTTGTGGGTCGGACAGGCGGTGAGTCGGTGACTGTCTCCTTCCCGGGGGCTGTTGCAGGAGGACCTGGAGAACGGCGAGGATGTGGCCACCTGCCCTAGCTGCTCCCTGATCCTGCGCGTCATTTACGACCAGGTGGGTGCGGGGAGGGGGCTGTCGAGCATGGTTGCGGCCTGCTGCCCCCGGCGCCCGGTCGGCCAAGTCGAGTTTCGGTCTGCCATCCCCTGAGGAAGGCGCAGTGGCAGCCTTTAAAAGTCCCTGGTAAACATGGGGAAGGGTTGTCTGAGCTAGTGCCCCTTTTGTTTGTGACTGCAGCTTCTGCCTCATCTCTTGTTTTTCTGGTCTGCTTCTCCTGCCGTGTGTGAGGTTTAAAATATGCCTGCTTGGGTGAGCGTGGGGTGGAACACAGACGAAACAATATCAGTGTACAATATCTATGACTCTAGCAGCCCTGTCAGCTAGTCTAATAGTTTTTCTTATCTAGTAGGCATGTTACGCCTTTCATGTTTTGGGAGACAGATTCTCACCACTTATTCCCAGGCTAGAAAACAAGATGGTTATCTGGTTTGTTTTGAGGGAGAGGAGATCCAAAAATGATGAAAATCAACTAAAACTCTACTTGCTGTCTTTAGGAACAGTTCATGCGTGATGAAGTCATTGCAGAACCTTTGACAAACAAGGAATTGATTAAGTGCTGATGAATACAACATGAACTGTTGCTGCTTTAGAACAAGAAAGTATGGGGATGGCAACTGCGGAAAGAGATATGGTCCTCCTCCTGGAAGTGCTCGCTGCTGTGAGATACAAGTGCAATAACAGGCTATCTTCATAATTTGAATGAGAATTTGCTGGGACATCAACACGTGAATAGGTTTTGTTCGAAAGGGTTATACATTTTAAAAGTTGCCATATATATTCCAGAAGACTCGACGAGTATGATCCTAATTGACAGGAAGTCAGTATACAGAAGAAGTATGTGGAGCTGTGAAATTAAAACATTTATCTAGCAATGGCTTCTTAGCCTGTGGAGAAAAGCAGGCAATGTGTGGGTGTACGTCAGTGTGACATAGCATAGGGAGTGAAATGTTGGGAGACAAAATTTAGAAGTCCATATGACATGATGCCATACAGAATTACAGCTTTGACAGTGTAGTATCACCTAAGATGTGGGCTCACATGCTTCCTGCCCATACTGAATATGGGGAAAAATAAGAGACCCAGAACCAACACTGTTGGTAAATTGTTTTTACTACTATAAGCACAAAGAAGGTGCAGTTGTATTTATATCTGCAGTGGGTGCAACACTTGAGTTGGGGCAAATTTGTTTCTTAATTGCAGTTGCTTTGAAACAGCTTTGGTAGCTGTTATCAAATGATTCTGTGACATAATAATGATGTACTTTTGTGGGTGTTGTGTGAAATGAAACAAAAGGAGTCAAACTTTTTTTACCCCTGCAAAGCTACTAATGTACAAATGGACTTGAACTCAAAGTAGATTGTAGTTTACCCATATTTTCTCAACAACTTTGTGATTTGGCTGTTGCAGCAAATATAAAATGGGCTGCAGTTCTTTGTGCCATTTGTAGTAGTACATTTGCTGAATTTTTCAGTCTTCCTTTGTTAGGTTCTGTCATTTCCTCAACAGGAGATACACACATTTCGCTTAATTAATAAGAAGGAATTTTTTAGGGTAGAAAAGAGTTGGAAGAATATACTCCAAAGTACATTGATTCCAAAACTACTTCTTGTATTACAAGCCACTGCATTTGAATATTTATTTAAAATTACGGTCATTCATGTGTTTTACTAGGATTTGACACCTGTGAAGTTAAATATGGGAAAAAATACTTGTACAGCATTTATATAGTTATTTTGCTCCAGGCGCTAAAGATAAGCAAGTCTTACTGAATTCTTGTGTTTAACTGTTTTTGTTCTTACAACATTCTGTGAATGTTGAAGATGAACATTCTAATTATTTAAAAAAAAAAAAGGGGGGGGAGGGAAACCAAAAATCTGCACCTTTCAGTTAGAAGTTTTGAATGCACAACCCAAAGTGTTTTCATGCCTAAACCAGAAGGTGGCACTCATGCTACTTCGATAATCTGTGCTTCAAAAAAATGCTGCGGTACTTTGGTTAGCTGTATCTTCTCAAATATTTATTTTGGCTATTTAAATAAAGATATTTAAAACTGCACTAATGGTTATAAGGGGCCATTGCTTATTCTGTTTGTGCACCAGCCACGATGATTTCCAAAGGGGTTGAGTTGCTGCTGCTGTGGTAATGATACTGGAATTTCTTCAGGTTATCTAGTAAAAAGGGTTTCAGTCTATCAATAGATGCTATAAAGCAAATTCACAGGAACCCTATTTAAACTTCTATTCAAATTTCTACTGCATAAATATCTTGAGGATTTTTCCACAAGTCTTCTACATAAAGCTAAGTAGAGTAAGTTTCAAATGGAACACCAGGGAATGTATACTTTGAAGTAATTACATCAAAGTAAATTGCCAGGTGTAGCATCTCCAAAGGTGCATAGATTTTACAGAAGTAATTTGACCATATTTCATTTTATAATGAAGTTAAGGCACTGTCATAAAGACTTACGAAACTGGCATAGAAAATTATCTATACTCCATATGGTTGAATTCCTACATGGTTGTAAAAAGTGTTTATCAATTGAATTTTACTTGGCATGTGCTAATATAAGCTTTGAAGTGATTCTCTGTAGTGTCCCTGTTCATCTAAGGTACAGGTAATGGCTTTTTTAACAGTAATTTTAGCAAAATTAATTATTTTATTACATCAGTTGTCAGTGCTTAAGGTTTCATGATAAGCATATTCTTACCAAGTAGGAATAGGATCCAAGTTGTATTATGCAATTTATATGCACATTAAAATTATTTAGTTACATAGTATATATCAAAGCTTTAATGAAGTATATGTTACATTTGCTTTTCTGGAGCTTTTTTACAGTATAACTCCAGTAAAGTGTTGTGGCTGACTTTGTTAGAAAAGAATGTGTCCACATTTGCCCACGTAAATTGCTCTCAACTAAGTCTCGTTGCAGTGTCTTGAGACAAAACAAGGATGGATGTCCTGTATCTCTCTTTTGTTGCCTTTTGGGCATCTGAGAGAGGTGTTTGACTCTGCACAGAGGAGTCCAATGGGATGAGAACAGCATCATGTGAACGCTGATAGAGTACGTCGTATTTACTAGGGATTAGAGAGGGTGGAACAACATCAACTTCAGATATTCAAGAGGTGTTTAAAAACCACTGTTGGTTTGTTGCTTTCCCTTCTGCTCTGCAGAGAGGAGTGGAGTTCTGTAGCAACCGAGTTCACCCTTCATAAAAGCTCAGTGATGCTAAAGCCAAAGAGCTGCCCACTTTCGTGTTTTGTTAACTTTTAAGAAGCTTTTGACTCCAGTGATTGCAGACAGCTTTTCAAAATTTCTTCTGTACTGTGTAATTCCAAAACACCAGTCAGGGCAATCTGAGTAACCCATCAGAAATGTTCCTCTTCAGGAATTCAGTCACAAGGTTTCTTCACAGCACCACAGGCTCTTGCGCAGCATGCGGGCCTCTTACGCATTACTTGTGTATTACATATTCTTAGAAACCAATGGTTCACTTGTCTTCTGAAAAGGCAATTGTGTAGGACACAAAGAAGTCTTTTGCTTGCTGTTTGTATCTGACCAGCAAATTGATTGATTATTTGATTAGGTCCTTGACTCTGCACAGAGGAGTCCAATGGGATGAGAACAGCATCATGTGAACGCTGATAGAGTAAGTCGTATTTACTAGGGATTAGAGAGGGTGGAACAACATCAACTTCAGATATTCAAGCTCTGAAATTGCTAACTCTGTTAAACACCACTAAACTCCCATGTAATATTGAAAACAAGCAATAGACTGTTGCCACAATTTTATGGGAAGAAATGGAAGGTAATTTGCTCTTCATTAATGAGGCTCAGCTTCTCCGAGCAGTCAGATTCTTGTTTGCATTTCAAAGAAACTTGCTGAGAAGGTCGTGTACTTCTGGCTCATTGTGCCTGTATATCAGTGGCATACATGATTAGTTTTGAAGTCCCTGACAGAGACCCTGGACCTCCAAGAGTTGAGGTTGTTAAGCCACTAATTTCAGCCATTGCACTTGTGCCATTTATCTGTGTGTCGGGGAAGTCGTAATGTCATAAAGGACCGTTATGTAAATACCTTGGCATTTCTTCTCTCCATCACGATTTTTAATTTAGATTCTCAGCAGCAGTCAAAAAAAATGACCTTTGCAGAACACCAGTTTAATAAAGATCATTACCTAGATTACCAAGTCTATCTACCAAGAAGCAGATATTGTTTCATTTCAAATAAACAGAAAGTGAACTGGCAACTATGTATTGTCACTAAGAAAAACAGTTTCCGCATATCCCATTTCCATCTCTCCTCTATTCCAGTTTAATGTTCAGATCAGGCTAACTGTAAGGGTAGGTATTTGTTACACTGAAAACTTCTTGAAATGTTTTTACAAATAGGATTTATCAAGATATTTAGCATAGTAACAAATATTTGCTATGATTTTCTCCAGCACAGTTCCTTATGGATTGCCTTCCCTTCAGTTAGGACATAGCTTTGATTCTGATTCATGGTAACTTAAAATGCTGATTTCTTAATGTCTCTCCGTAGTAGCCGTGGCATGGAGGAGATGGGGAGGATCCAGAGGATCCTGTGTAACCATGGAGATGCTGGGTTCATCAGCCCTGAAACTAGTCAAACCTTGTAAGTGACAGAGGCAACAACTGACAGAAGCTGTGCCAAGCTGGAAATGTCACATGTCACCGGCTGTCAGGGAGGAAGTGGGTCAAAAGGGACTAACCGAAAGGGTAAAAGCTTAAGTGACCTGTCATCACTCCTTCCCACCCCTTGCCGTCACTGTTTTGACCTGTTTGCATACCATTTCCCCTCTCCAAAATTCTGGGCAACTCACCAGTCCAGCACAGGTTTCCCATCGTGTCGTGGAAAATCATTGCCGTGCTGTTTATCCTGCCGCTGAGCACAGCCAGCCAAGAGAAGCTCGCTCCAAAGGCGGTGGTGCGCGCAGCGGTCAGCAGCAGAGCTGCCCCATCCGGCAGTGCCGTCGTCCAGCTGGGCAGGCAGTCACCATAGCTACTGTAAGAATTACCTCTCTAAAAAACCCAACGGTTTTTTATTTTTTGTATTTTTGTATTTGTATTTTCTGCATTAGGTTTTTTTGTATTTTCTGCATTAGGTTATGTGCTGCAACACGCAAATCTAGCCCTTTAACCAGGTCAAGCAGAACCCAACGGAACAACAAATTTGTATTTTCTGCATTAGGTTATGTGCTGCAACACGCAAATCTAGCCCTTTAACCAGGTCAAGCAGAAAGTGGGGCTCTCAGGGAGTTCTTTAGAGCTCTACGTGTGTGGATTTTTTTTTTTTTGAGCCAAAACCTTGATCACAGTGTCTACCAATATGCTCTGAGGCAGGAATAGCCTTTCTTTTCTTTTTACTCTTCCATATTTTCAGTTGTTGTGTGGTTAATACAGTGTAACTTTCAGTGTCCCATTTTCTTCTCAGAGTCATTTCCCTGACAGATTTTCAGTCAGCTCATTGATGTTGCTGAAACCAAGCTCTCAAAATTTATGAGTTGGGCCCCTGAAGATCCTAAGTTTATCTTAAAATTG